CGCAATTTCAGGCAATGTCAGGCCGTGCTTCTCTGCGACAGGCTCGATAACCCGCAGGGCATCAAAGGTCGCGTCCTTGAAGTAGCGATTGCGATACAACGTGCCAATGGAAGACTTGTCGCTGTATCTGCCGTCTTCGGGAATATCCTGGGTCTTTTGCTTTCCAGACAGGATTCCACCAGCAAGCGGATTGTACACCACAATGTCGATGCCATACCGCTTGCAAGCATGGACCAATTCGGTTTCTATGGACCGAGCTGTGATAAGGCACGTCAGTATCATGGGGTAGTATCAAATGTTCAGAAACCCGAGCAAGCGACTCACTAATAGCATTGTACATGGCCTGGTAGATGGTCGGTCGTACCCAGCCTCTCTCGTTGCAGACTGTCACGATCTCTGCGACCTCGAAGGCAGTGAAGTTACTCAAGCCGAGCTCGACGAATTTTCCCTCCTTGTGCAATTGATTGACAGCCTCCAGGGTTTCCGTAAAGGGGACCGAGCGGTCGGCGGCATGAAGGTAGAAGATGTCCACGCAGTCGGTGCCCAGGTTCTGTAGAGAGAGCTCGAGTTTCTCACGAATGACGTGTGGCTTGTGGTAGCCCGGCTGCCCGGGGTACCACTTGGTGGCCAAGGTCAACCCACGCTCCTTCCACTTCGTCTGAGCAGTGAAGGCTTCCTGCTGCCCGGCGACATATGTGCGCGCGGTGTCAACCTCATTGAAGCCTTGCTGTTGCAAAAGGTCGAGACACTTGTTGAACTCATCGACTGAGGTGATACGAGCCCCTGCAGACTCATCCGGACCAAATGTCATCAACCCAAGGATGACCCTGGGTAAGGGGTTCTGTGCGATGAGAGGCATGATGGAATATACGGCGAATAGCTCAGCGTTCAACACCTGGGCGGGGTACAGTAGAGCTAGGAGCAAGTTAGCTTGTGCCGGGATTCACAATGGGCGATGTTGCTCAATGTAATACCTGGAATGCAATGTCTGGGAATTAGGAAATTTATCGAAGAATGATAGAGACTGGTTCTCGTCGAGAAAGGATGAATTATGAAGGAAATACAATGAAAGCAGGTGTCAGGGAGATCAGAGCTGTATTTGTCACCTTCCCCGCCATAGTTGACTGACTAGTTGAGTATGGCGCAACCCACACCCCGCCCGTCCGACGGCATCACCGATCATCGAGCAATCGTATATCTCCTCGTCGATCGGCAGCGGCTACCATAATTTTGGAGTCAGTACCAACATCTTGACTGGCTTGTTCATCATTGTATACTTTGTTTATAGTATGTGAAGCATATTTGATGATGACTTGGTTCCCTCTCTTTGGGTTACCAGCTTCTACTGTTGGGCAACAATTACTAACAAATCCGCTATCGGCATCTGGTGAACTCTGATGAGCTTGACTCATCAACATACTTTGTCCATACCATCATTGTATCTGCGCCCGACCTCTGATCTCATTTTTGCCACACTGCTTTTCTACAAGATGAGCGCCCCAAGCAAGGACACATGCTCGATACTGGTTATCAATCCGAATACCTCGTCGCATATGACCAATGCGCTAATTCCTCTCTTGGATAATCTCGGACACGGAGGTACTCAGTTCGACTACTTCACAGCCCCGGTGTCAGAAACCGTCACTCTTCCGGACGGCCGCACGGTGGAGGGGGTGCCCAGCATTGACTCGGGCGAGGACTCGGTGAAGTCAGCTCTCTACTGCATGCCGTTCCTGGAGCGCATCATTTCCGAATATGACGGCTTTATCGTATGTTGCTTCTCAGCTCACCCTCTCGTGGGGATGTTAAAGGAAAAGGTGCGCAAGATCGAGGAATCACACACCTCCATCGTGCCATCGGAGCAGAAAGTGAAGCGAAAGTACGTGACGGGCATCTTTGAAGCTGGAGTGCTAGCTTCGCTGGCCGTGGTCAGCTCGTTTCAGTACGCATCGGGGCCGGGCTTCCACAAGTCCCTGTCGCCGGAAACTTTCGGCATCATCTCCACCGGCAAGATCTGGGAGACGGAGCTTAGCAGCGCCGTTGCTGACATGCTCGGCCATTCGAGCGACGGCAGCATTAGTCACTTTGCTGGGGTTGAGACTACAGGGCTGACCGCCGTTGAGCTGCACACTACCCCTCCCCAAGAAGTGAGACGACGGCTTGTCGAAGCAACTGAGCGACTTCTTAAAGGTTCGCAACGTCCCGTGGGCGCGATCTGCATGGGTTGCGCCGGTATGGTAGGCATGGAAGAGGCGGTCCGAGAAGGGTGTGTGAGAGCATATGGTCGGCAGAAGGGCTGTCAAGTGAGAATCATTGACGGGGTTGCTGCCGGGGCTGGGATGCTTGTGACGGCTTGCAAAGTCGGTTATTGAACCAAATCCGCATTTGATCTCCTTTGTATATACCGAGACATCGCTGCTCTGGGTAGGCCAGGGTGGCGTAGAGGCTCTGAATGAGCCTGCTGCTGGATTAGAACCGCAGCGGTTTGGCCTTTCGTCAAATATTACGGCCATTCCGCGCAAGTTCTCTAAGCTTCGATGAGAGCGCAAATCAGTAGTGCGGAACAATGCGTGTAATTCCCATCCGCTCGTGAAGATTGTGTAAGCTGAGCAAAGCAATTCATTTTCTCATGTGTAATATTCTCCAAACAAAATGTGTTGGAAGGGACATGTTGCGCTCAAGTCTAGACAAGTTCATTGTTGTAGAAGCTGCCTGCTGATAGCAGTTTCGGCCTGAGGCCGCCACCCCTAACCTAGATTGAAAGCTGGAAGTTTCCCCGCGGAACGCGCTACGCGTGGGCCAAAAACCCACGACTACTGACTGTGGTCAAGCAGAAAGATGCCCAGGTATGTGCCACAATCTCGCTTCTCTTGTAATCAGTCTCAGGCCCTCTATCTGCTCATTCACGTTGCTAATCTCGAGATCAGAGAAATAATCACAATCCAAGCCGGCCAGTGCGGCAACAATGGTACCTAGTCCTGCTCCAACACTATTTCTTATCGCAACCACAATAGCTTCCAAGATTGTGCTTCTTTGCTCGAGAGCTGCTACTGACTGGCATGTCACTTAGTCGGCTCGCAATTCTGGCAGCAGCTCTGTCTCGAACACGGAATAAGTCAAGATGGCAATTTAGAAGATTTCGCAACTGAAGGCGGCGACCGTAAGGATGTCTTCTTCTACCAGGTACGCCCGCATATTTCACAGCTTCGGCCCCTCGATAAACAAATCTAACTAACAACCTCTTCTTTTCTTAGAGTGATGATACCCGGTATATCCCTAGAGCGATCCTTCTGGATCTTGAGCCCAGAGTACGAACCCCTCCCTCGGCAGCAAACAATCGACACGCCTGTATTAGCGCACTGAATCATGAGCTCATGCTTCCCAAACAGGTCCTTAATGCTATTCAAACCGGTCCCTACCGAAATATTTACAACCCCGAGAACTTCTTTATCGGACAGCAGGGCATTGGCGCGGGCAATAACTGGGGCGCTGGTTACTCTGCGGGTGAAGTTGTCCAGGAAGAGATCTTCGACATGATCGATCGAGAAGCGGATGGCAGCGATTCACTTGAGGTATGGCTCATGGCTCTTGAGGAGCAGATACACAGACAGGGCACTTTGATCATACCTCACTCGAGTCATGGGGCTGACATCGCACTCTACTAGGGATTCATGTTCTTGCATTCGATCGCAGGAGGCACAGGCTCTGGTCTGGGCAGCTTCATCCTTGAGCGGATGAACGACCGATTCCCCAAGAAACTAATGCAGACTTACTCTGTATTTCCCGATACCCACTCTGTGGACGTGGTCGTCAACCCATACAACAGTCTGCTCACCATGCGGCGGTTGACGCAAAATGCCGACTCTGTTGTAAGACCTCCTGGAATCCTACGTATCCTGCCAGGTCGTTCTCGGTACAAGCTAAAACGATTGTCTCTCATATTTAGGTTGTGCTGGACAATGGCGCTCTCTCAAGAATCGTTGCCGACAGACTCCATGTGCAAGAACCGTCATTCCAACAAACAAATCAGCTAGTATGATCCTCATGCGCAGACAACAGAAGCAAAGGAAGCGGACGGGTCCCTAACACTATCTTTCTAGGTATCCACTGTGATGTCCGCCTCCACCACCACCCTCCGTTACCCCGGCTACATGCACAACGACCTGGTTGGGATCATCGCTTCCCTGATACCCACGCCCCGCAGCCACTTCCTCATCACCTCCTACACCCCCTTCACCGGCGACAACATCGAGCAGGCCAAGACGATCCGGAAGACGACCGTCCTGGACGTGATGCGCAGACTTCTGCAGCCCAAGAACCGCATGGTGTCGATCAACCCCAGCAAATCCAGCTGCTACATCAGCATCCTCAACATCATCCGGGGCGAAGCCGACCCGACCGACGTCCACAAGTCGCTGCTCCGCATCCGCGAGCGGCGCCTGGCGTCGTTCATCCCGTGGGGCCCCGCCAGCATCCAGGTGGCCTTGACGAAGAAATCGCCGTACATCCAGGACACACACCGCGTCAGCGGTCTGATGCTGGCCAACCACACCTCGGTCGCTACTTTGTTCAAGCGGATCGTGCAGCAGTACGACCGCCTGCGTAAGCGGAACGCCTTCTTAGAGCAATACAAGAAGCAGAGCCCCTTCTCGGATGGTCTGGGGGAGTTCGATGAGGCCCGCGCTGTGGTTATGGACCTGGTTGGGGAGTACGAGGCGGCCGAGGGTGAGGATTACCTGGATCCAGATGCTGGGAAAGATAAAGAGCTTGGAATCTGATGTGTAAACGAACGCCCTTTTGTTCTATTCCTGTTTGCATGTTGAATCTTTTGTGTGTGTGTGTGTGTGTGTGTGTGTGTGTCTCTGCGTTTGGACATTCCTCTGATGTGGTTCCTTTTGTTTAATGACTGACTACCAAGGGTTGACTGGTGTATATCAAGCGGCGAAGGCGTTTCTCAAATTCATCGTTGTTTTCATTTTTCTGATAAAAAAAAATAACACCTTAAAATGAATACGGCGGCCTTCCTGATCTGCTACATGAGTTCGAGCTTCCCCACCATAATCGGGACAGTGGGGTTAGGCTTGAATAGGACGGACACCTGGACAGCCAGGTGTCGGACATCGGTAACAGTTACACGACGGATTTACCGGGGAGGTGTGGTAACTACTATCTGCCAGGGTAAGCGATCAGGCCAGGGGGGGTGATGGATCGATGGGTTCAGGTTGGGTTTAAAGCCCACAAGCCCACAGGAAGCAACGCGCAGCCAGCCTGCACTTTGCTTTGTGCAAGCGCAAGCAGGGCGCTGGTCCGGTAGTGGTAGGCCTTCCCCGCCCAATCTAGCGGCGAGAGGGTCCGTCCACGCGCAGGGGAGCCCCGCCCGCCCATTAACTCAGAGTAATGTACTCAGGGCTAGGCTGTAAATACAAGATCTTTCCCGAGCGTTGCAGGGGTGGCTGAATTTTTTGGTGAAAGGGGTTTTTTTATTTTTTGGCCTTGCCTGGCCTTGTCGGTCAACAGTAGGCCCCAACTACCACTTTTCGCGTCGATGGGGATGTTCGCTTGTTATCTTCGGAGGGTGCAGTTCTACCTTCACCCTTGTGCATGTTACTGTCAATATAGCCCGGGGGAGGGGGGAAGGGGGGAAGGGGGAGGCGATTTGCGAATTGTAGGACCAAGTGTCGAGCAGAGTATAAACTGGTCGAGGTGGTTGTGACAGACGATGCATTGACGTGTATGTAAGGAAAGGGAACCGAACTCAACATCGCACGCACATCATTTGCTGTTGGCGGAAGGGTTGGTCGTGCGGACGGAAAGGTCTACCGTCTATCCCCGGCCTTGAAAGATACAAAGTAGGTAGGCATAAAAGGAGATTCCTGCCCAAGAGGTGTGGGTACGGGTGTGGGTTTGGAAGGGGGAAGCTTAGAGCTGGATGGTCGGGGAAAGAAAGTATGGGGTAACAGTACAGTGCAGTGCAGGTGGTCTTGATCACCCCAACATAGCTTAATCATCCTTTCTCCGCCCTGGACAAAAAGTGAAGAGAAGATGGGGGAGGGGGGTGAGGGGGGTGAGGGGATGAAGATACCCGGTACTATCATGCAAACGCTCCTATGTAGGAAGACGATTGTCTGACAGTAAGCAGCAATTAATGGTGGTGGGAACAATTCAATGCACCAGGGTTCTCAGGATATCGGCTAGTCCAGAGTCGGGCTCGCAATGGGAACGTAGCACCTATTGAGAAGGGACAACAGATGGTGCAGAGGGGGCGGTCCATAAATAAAAGGAGAGGGTTGGTACATCATTGCCGTGCACCCTTCACTTTGGGGTACATGAATCCACCCACCTCTCTGTAGGTATGTCGCTGCATGGACGTTGTGTCTCATGGGTGCCAGGCAGTAAGTAAGGTAGCACTACCAGATGAGCTGCAACAGGAAGGGTGCATGCATGGGAGCACCACTGCCTTTGCCTTTGCCTTTGCCTTGCGCATTGCCCACCAATCCCAAGAGCTTCAAGGATATGTTCCATTCTCTCTTGTCGTCCGAGCCAACATCAAGATTCTGATGTGGGTTACCGTCACACATACCAGTGCACTGCGGGTGTGCCTGGCTCTGAGGTCATGGACCCGAAGATATCGAGCAAGTTCGCAGTCCGTACGGCATGTCGTCTCTTTCACGTGACTGGATTGGCTGATCGGCCATTGTACGAGTAACTAACCATAAGCGAGGTGTGTAGATCAGCGCAAGATCTAAATGTTCAAGGGTTGGGGAGAGAAAAGGAGTTGTTGGCGCGGTGGTGCTACTTCGGAAGCAGCTACACCTCTGGCGTGCACAGACTTCGGCCACAAGCCCGGGGGAACAGCGCCCCCTCCTCCCTCGCCTCAGCCCCTAGTCATATTAATGGGCTCAGAGCGGGTTGTTTTGTGACAAGAGGATGAAGCGAAGGTGCCTGGCTGTTGCGACCAGGATTATATGCAGCCGTTGAGACCGGTCGCTTTCTCAATAGGAAAGAGGAAGAGTATGTGCTGTACTAGGTACATACTGTAGACACCTAGGACTCGGCTGGAGCTACGGAGTAGGAGCTAACCGACTCAATTGACTTACCATGAACTCGGCATACTAACTTTATCGTGACTATGTGCAGCCGATTGCGCCATGGATGGCGACATGCTATATGCCATGCCATGCCATGCCATGCTATGCTTGAGAGCAAACTACATATAGTCCTCAGGATTGTGGCCGGCAGATTAGGGATGCTCTGGATGGGCAGTAATTCAACTTGAGTGGTGTTGGGAGAAATGGGGTACAGTATACGGAGTACTCATGCCTTGTCGACACCCGAGGGTGGACACGTATGAGCGGATGAGGTGTAAAGCGATATGCCAGCCCAGATGTCGTGTATGTCACCCTTTTTTGTCGTCCATCGACCTTAAGTTAGACTTTTCTTTTACCCATTCTTCGTCACCTGTTTCGTTTGCCGCCCGGTCGGTTGGTCGGTCGGTCTGAAGAAAGAGCAATTCAAATTATATGGAATCAGGGAAAAGAAAAGGTGAGTGAGAAAAACGGTACCGAAGAAAGCCTCGTGCGCATCCGGCAAAGGCAAGACGGTTGGGAGCATTTGCCTCGCCCCGATGCAGTAGTAATCTGACATGGCCGGGAGACGGACGGAGAGAAAGAACGAAAGAAGGGCAGAAGGCCCGGAATCCTTCTTTAGTAAAGAAACCTAGAAGCTTCTGGCTCCACTTACCTGATTTGCCTCCACCCGGCCTTGTCGTCCGTTCCAGTCGGAGCCAGCCCTGAGATGAGAGAGGAGTGAGGAGCGAGGAGAGTCTTGAATCTCAGTCTCAGTCTGTCTAGACTGTCAAGAAGTCGGTCAGTGTGATGAGTAGCAGTGGTGTAGTCAAACAATAATGTCAGTAAGTTAGTGTCAGTAGTCAGTATCTAGACTAATCGGATGCGCCTAAAATTAAGGAAAGGGCGACGAATCCCCGTCCCGATCGATACTTAGTGAAATCCTATTAACAACTAAACAGGAAATAATACTTAAGGCTTAAGGTAAAGATAGTACACATAGGTGAGTGCTGGGTGGATGTTACGCCTATGCCTAACAAACTAACTCACTAACTAACCACGCCTACTCCTCATCTCTGCCTCCTCCTTCTCCTCTTTCTCCCTCAGGCTGGATCAGCGCATTGCACCTCCATTATTAAGTTAATTCAATTATTCAGTTAGTTAACTTAGTTAGTTATTGTTATTGAGTGACTCAGCAGGTCATTCATACCTTCCGATTTACCCCCTCTGACCACTCCTCCCTCCCTCCCTCCCTCCCCAACCCGATTTCGCAATCACATCCGTTCCCCTACCCGATTTATAAATTGACTTTGCGCTGCAGTTTCGCCGCTGCCACCTACTGATTCATTTATAACCCTCTTTCGCTGCCTCTGTGTCCTTTTCCTCTTTTCCACACCACTTTCAACCGTGACTCTGCCTCACCTCCTTCCACCCTCTTCCTCCACCTACCTTGCTGTTCCCCGTCCCTACTACTACGGTCTCGCTTTCAATTCAGCCACATCTGTCTGCTCCGGTGCTTATATAAAGACCGCCCTTCTTATCTACTACTCCTTATCTACCAACGCCCCGGGACTCTCCTAACAGCTCTCTCCACCGACCAACTATCTCCACGTCGCCCTTTTTTTTCTTCTACAGGAGGCAGTACTGCTCTTCATCCTGAGGCTTCAGCTTGCATCCAAGTTCTTGCCAACCACCGCACCACGCCCACGGTTAACACCCGCGCCCCTTCCCCAACCAGCGCCAATTTGCACGCCGCATACGCAAGCGCTTATCGGCTGTTCCTACTCCGGTGACTCCTCTTGACTCCGCCCCGTTTCTCGCCACCCTTATTCCATCATGGCGCCCCGCAAGCCTCGCTGCAACTTCAAGGAGTGCAAGGAAGCCGCCCAACGCATTGTCGGCGATTGCAGCTTCTGCAGTGGTCACTACTGCTCCAAGCACCGCATGCTGGAAGCTCACTCCTGTACCGGCCTGGAGGACTGCAAGAAGGAGTCGCATGCCCGCAATGCCGATAAGCTGAACAGCGAGCGCACCCACGTCATCAAGGGCGTATGAGGTTTTCGCCCGGCACCACGCCATTACCTCATTAATCACATTCCTCTTCATTTCCCGTTGCATCGTCATATATCGATTAGCACGGTGTTTTCTCGTCTCTTCAGCCATACTATTTATTGCAAGGCGGAGTTTTTTTATTTTTCTGTCTAATTCACATCACATTGGCTGGGGCTCGCCGCAGTTACTGCACGGACAGTTTCGCACCCTGGTGGTTTATAAGCAAGGCTTGGGGGAGTTCTGCACAGATTTTTGTCCTCTTATCATCTGTGATATTGTACGCTTGGCGTTGAGACTACCTCTGGAGTTGTGAATGATTACTTCTTTTTCCTCTTGATTCAATGCTCATCGCAGGCTGTGGCAGCTATGCCCGTCCATAGGCCTCCAGAAGGTGGTTGAATGCGTCCTTAGACAGCTTGATCTATTTTTTGTTTCCCCGCTTGGATAGAATTGATATCTCCTAGCAAACGTGAGTCTCCATTTGAAAGACGGCATCGTCACGTACTCCGTAGGCATTCTCCGTATATCACCCCTCAAGCAAGCTTGAATGAGTACGCAAGTGATCGGCGTTGGAGCATGGACGTGGTAGTGTGGTCTTGTGCCAGCTCAGTAGCCCCGTCAGGTACCTACCTCGTCTGCCCCAGCCAGTGAGCGTGCACAACGTAGCACTCGTCATATGACAGGCAACCTTGGTGCTTGATAAGGTACGCTGTTCAAGCTTCGACCCCCATCAACTGTGCTGAGAGCACCGCGAGGTTTAGTAGTTGCCTTGCTAGGAGGTGTCGTGGAATCTAAATCACAATCTGACAAGAAAAAAGAAAAAGCCTCCATAAGAAATTCTGTACATAGTACTGTAAACCGAGTGTTGTTAAGAACAAACCAAAAAAAACACATAATACATAACCCAAACCCCCATTCTTGCAGCAGTCTAACCGGGTCCAATCTTGGGCCTGTATAGCGCAGGGTCAGAGATATGTTAGTAGCCGCGTCGAGCAAAGTGAAGAAAAAGGCAAAGAGGGCAGGCAGGCAACCATGGCAAGCCGTGTGGGGGCAATTGGAGGAAAGAGGAAATCACGTACATATCGTGGTGTTCGCTCAATCGACTGAGGTACTTGTTGAGCTCCTCCACGCGCTCCTTGTGAGTTTTGACCCCGTCCCGTTTCAGGCGTTCTTGCAGCTGTAGTGTGTGAGAGGGAGGTGGAGTTAGTTGGTAGTCCCAGGGGGGTTTTTTTTGGTTATTTGTGGTTGATTGTTGTTGCTCTGTTGTATGGGGGTGGTTTGCGACTTTGGGGGTTCCTTGGGTTGAGGCAGCTACCATTGAGGGTAGATTGGGGGAGGGGGTAATAAATCAAAATGAGGTAAGGGTTGGTGCAATACAAGAAGATTGATTGATGGTAATATGCGAACAGGGAAAGAAAAAACTTACCCTCCTCTTCCTCATCTCCTCATGCCTCCTCTCCGCCTCGGTCTTGCCAGCGGAGCCAACGTCCGGTGATGATTCCTCGGGATGATCAGCCTCATCGTCGGGTGCACGAGACGTATCTCTTGGCGTGGTGGTTTCGTTTTTGTCTGGTTGTTGTTGTTGTTGCTGCTGCTCTGCGTCCGCATCAGGAGAAGCCTTCGTGGGCTCTTTTTCCGTTTCCTTTTGCTTCTTCTTCTTTTTCTTCTTCTCTACTCGGCCATCGGCGATCTTGGAGCCCTTCAGCTTGAGCTTACCGCCTCCGCCGGGCGTCGAATACTCGTCGGCCGGCATGGGAGAGGCTTGTCTGGTTGATTGGGATTGGATTTTTTCAGGGGGCGTGTTCAGCTTTGAAACATGATTCGGTTTGGGTGGTTCGAGAAATTTCCCCGATGGTTTGGTTGAGGGTTGCGAATTAAAATAACTTAACTTGGTAGATAATCGAGAGGTGATTAGCTGGGGTGGGTTTGCCTTGCCGCTTTAGATTCGAGTCAGGTGATCATACGTAAAGAAGTAACCCAAGAATCCGGCAACGAAGGCTAGGGCCTATGGTTCATTGTTACCAACTATTCAGTGGGTATAGTGACTTGAGGCTACTGATGATAAATGGTCCTATGATTCGAAAAGCGATATGGTTAAATGCCATCAGTGGCGCGATGTTCATTATTGTCAGGCTATGTTCTATGCTTTTTGACGTTTCATGCTATTGATATCGTAATGTTATCTCCTAGTTGTCCCTCTAGGGCCATGGTTCGTGCTCTGTGGTATGGAACTTGGGTTTCAATCGAAAGGAATCGGGCGTAGCCCTGACCCCCCCCCTCGTTTCCGCATCTCGGCTCCCGCAGCAACCGTGCTGGGGACCTTGATGCCACAGCAGTCGCCGAACCAATCCAGGTGATTGCTGTGATCATGGCCAGGGCCATGATCGTGCTCGTGCTCGTGTTCGTGCTCCTCGCTCTCCATGTCATCGGTGACCTCCGTCATCCCAGGCGCAGCGGGCAGTAGGCTGCCGAAAAGGAAGTGTTGCATGATGGGCAGCTTGCCCAGAACTTCCTTGACAAACATCTTCTTCATGCCGCCTTCGATCTTGCTCCAGTTCTTGGCCCCCGAGATGTCATCCAGCATGGGACTGTGCCAGCGCAGCCCTTTCACGGTTTTCACGCTGTCGACCCACCGCACCTGATCCAGGTAGATGAAATTGTCGCTTTCCTCCTCGAGCACCGCCATGTTGTGGATCGACAACGGGGTGATGTAGGGATGGGCCACGAGCTGCGAGGCGCCGAACAGGAACGGCAGGAAGTGGTAATCATCCAGACCCCAGACCCCGTGGGAGCCGGCTGGCTCGAGATAGTATGTGGTTTGAATGTCGCGCATCAACCGCATGTAACTCACGTACACGTGGAAGACGATCGCAGGGAAGTCGGATTTCGAGAACAGGTGCACCTGGCGGAGACATAGTAGCCACATCATGAAGTTCAGCTCATGGCCTGAGCCATAATCTAGTCGATCCCGCGACCCTAAGGAGTTTATAAGGTATGTAGATGCCTCTTCGAGAAGGGCCGGGTCCTCGAATCCGAAGATGTCTCGATGCCATGCCTCGCTCTGTCTCGCGACATCGTCGAACAGATCGCGGAAAGCAGGGTTGCCAAAGCGCGAGCCGTTCTGGTCGAGGGAAGGGTGGCGTTCAAGAAGTGAGCGTATTTGGTCGACCACGGACTGTACTTTGGTGATGGTGGGAGAAGGCTTGCTAGCTTCGGTCGTCGCCCGCCCTCGTACGGAATCAGAAAGTCCGAAGATGAAACCGAGGATCAAGTTGTATGTAGGGGAGGAGAGGAAGAGTGCGTGATCATTTCGTGATAAGATTCGACGGACGGGCCGAGTATACTGGTGGGAGGTGAGGTCGGGAGGGTTAGGTAGAGGCGGGGTGACTGGTGCGGGCTCTTTGGAGGGTGCTGTGCTCGACTTGTTCTTGCTCGCTCGGAGCTCTGAAAGCTTCTTGGACAGATCAATCTTGGGCTTGGGTGCCAGATTCGGCACGGAGACCTCTGAGGCCATTGTGAGATGGCAGGTAAAAAAGGCCAAGAAGAACGACGATACTAATGAATGGTGCACTTGGGAAGGTGACGGTCATCTGCCACCGCCCGCATACGATGGCTATGTGGAAGAGACCGGTCACGTGGCAGAATCATACCGCCTTTTCTGATCGTTTGACAGAGGCTGGGCCGATGACGCTTTCCCCAAAGGAAGATTAGTGCTGTCGGAGAGGATCACCATGTGATCGACAAAGCCCATTCGGTCCCTTGAGGTAAGAGCCAGCTATTCCGCTTCAGGATTGGGGCCCCTGGTACGGTAGTCACTAGTAGCGCTGTCTAAGAGAGCAACAAAAGTTGTAACTTCTCCAACAACGCACGATGCTGGGTGAGGGGATGAAGAAAAGAGCTGTGTCAATATTTGGCCGGAGATAATCACCTCAAGGACCAGATTTCTCGTGTCTGCTGTACAACCTCATATAGAGGTTCTTTAATCGCCGTCAACCGTTGAGCACCTTCGAAAGCTGGGGCAACTTCTGACCCTGCTTATCCACTCTTCTGCGTCTGCTTAATTACAGCTTGCCCTAGGCTATATGAACCCTGCGCCTCCGTGAGCACGCCATCATGGAACCCTCCGATTTGACCACACAAAGCACCCAAAAGCCGGGTGACTCTTCTCTCACGCAAAGTCCTTCATCCCCTCGTTCGTCTCGCGGAGAGCCACACCGCATGTCTTCTCCAAGCGCAGAGCAAGGGCCGGCTGCGACACCTAGTCACGGCCAATCCTACCCAGTCAATGAATGCACGCCCATTGTGTCGAACAGCGATTCATCCCGGCGAAATTATCAATCTACGGAAGGACTCAGGAACCGTGAAACAGGGTCCGTGAATGGCCATGCCGAGATCCCGGAACGGCGAGATGCAAGAGCAACCTCCGATCAACAGGCCCCCCAGTCAGATGCGGAGGAGCCGCACACCTCCTGGTACCGGCGAATGGCCGAGAAGTACGGCAGCTTAGAGCTAGAAAATAAGGGCAGTGTTGCCCGAGATCATCTTGCTTTGGGTGCGTTTGTGTCTAGTTCCCGTCTTGTTTCAGCTTCAAAAACTTGCGACATCAGCAGTCTGACATGGTTGTAGAGCGTACATTCCTTGCCTGGCTGAGAACTTCGCTGGCGTTTGCATCCATTGGGATAGCTGTAACCCAGCTGTTCCGTTTGAACAACACGGGGAACGTGACTGGGGTGGATCCTTCGTCCCAAACCCTTAATATCGATCCCGCCAGTGTCGCTATATCATCCGCCGCGCAGCGGCTCCGCAGCATCGGAAAGCCGCTAGGAACCACATTTATCGGCGTTGCCATTCTCATTCTCCTGGTTGGCTTTCACCGCTATTTCGAGAGCCAGTACTGGATCATCCGGGGCAAGTTTCCGGCCAGTCGTGGCAGCGTTGGGCTGATTGCAATCGTCGCTGCTGCGTTAATAGTAGCTACTCTTGTAGTTATTCTTGCAATCTCTCCAGGCGCGGTCGAAGCCTAGCGAGAGAGAGAACGAATTCTGAATTTGGCATTTGAGCGTTGAGCGTGTTTCTTCATATATGTTTTTGTCATCTCATTATCATCTCATTAGTGGTTACGAAACTTCAGGTCGGGTGGATGGCATGCTGGGTTTGGGTTGTTGTCTTTGTATAGGTGATACCGCGGAGCAATAGCATGCCGATTGTTCAAGGTTACTGGGGGAGTGGCAAGTCTAGTGAATGCTGCTTCCTGTGTGCACATATCACGCCTCTGGCCCTTCACTTACATCTATGTTCAACTATGTATATGGGAGCAAGCAAATCATGATGTGCATATGATACAACTGAGGTCT